TAGTCATCTAACCTGTGTCCATGTCAGTCAAGAGTGTGTCTAATGGTTAGCCGGAGTCGGAGCCAACGGAGGAGACCGTGGAACTTGAAGTCCGGAAGCAGGGCCAAGCGCGGCTGGCACGTCACACGTGTGGTATCAAACTCTTCTCCTAACGGTCACCATCTCCTATTCTGCTAGTCATGGCTTCTTCACAACTGTTGTCCACAAGTTTCCACGCCCCCACTCTTCCACTGGAAATAATCGACCGGATAATCGACTTTGTTGCCGGATTGAAGGTCAAAAAACTGCGTGCCAATCTTGCCACTTGCTCCCTCGTCTGTCACGCATGGATCCGTCGCAGCAGATACCATTTCTTCCGGAATTGCCGTCTCCTTGTGCATTTGAACAATACTCTCAATTTCGGAATACTTCTGCGCTCGCCTGCATGCACCATTCTCCCTCATCTCGAAACCCTCACACTACGCAACAACGGAGAATCGTTCTTCCATCGCATCCAAGACGCGCTAAAACTCCTCATAAATCTGCAGAGTCTGCGGCTCTGTGGATGGGCTTGGGATGTATACGGGATTCCTCCAGCACGCGAGTTCCTGTCGTGTCTCCCGAGTGTAGTGGGCCTCGAGATTGACTGCCAAATTTTGGGAGACTTCGATAACACGGTGCAGACATTTTGTGCGCTTCCATCTGTGAAGCGCCTTGCAGTTCGAAGAGTTCGTAAACCCAAGATGGTTTGCACCTGGCGTTGTACTCCGCCAAGAGCATTCGTCCCCCGTGTCCCCCTCCTCTCCACTCCCCCACAATTATCGTCTCTCCTCCTCGACACACGCGCAATTATACCCATTGTTCATTGGTTGAACGGAGCAGGCCCGCATCACCTCACAACGCTAGAGATATCTCTACCTCCCATCGACGACACAGAAGATCTCCTCCCTCTTCAACAGTTCGTTCAGGGTCTCAGCCCGTCCCTCGAACACTTCACCCTCAGTGCCTCGGTCGAAGATAAGACGCTTAGCCAAGGTACTCTTCCGTTTCTATTCCATGCCACCCATGTTGACAGAATCTATAGCCGACTTCGAACGCACCTTCGACCTCAGCGCAATCAAGAACCTCCGCACTTGCCGCTTCAACAAGCTCTTCCCCGAGCTCTTCCCCCGTCCGCTCGAGTGCGCACTTTCCTCAATCGTCCGCTCCCTCGCCTCCTCCTCGCTCGAAACCCTCACTTTCGAACTTGAGGGCTCGTGCAGCGAGACCCTTCCGTGCATACCCTGGGATGCGCTCGACAAATTCCTCTCGGAGAAGAACTGTTTGAAGTCCGTGGTATTCGAATGCCCGCCCAACAACAAGGGAAGTGCTTTCCCGAGAGCTACTCGATCCCTGTCGGCCATCACCATCTTGAAGGCGTTTCCGCGAGTAGAGGCGATGGGCATCTTGCACACGCGCAGGAACAGTTGAGACGGTGGGAGTAGTATCAACGCTTCTGCGATTTATTAATGCTTTATTTTCTTTCTGGATTTCCGGCTACATTTTTCCCTTATAATACGTCTACAAGACTGCTTCTTCTTCGTACTAATCATCTCTTTTCGGCGTTCTTCTACCCTGCATCTGACTGGCACCCACATACACGACATGTCAACCTCAAATAAACAAACTCTTCTTCCTTCAACCCTTGCTTATTTACAATTTTACCAGTGCTCCACCCACCCCTACAAGCATCTTTTCTTGCAACGTGAACCCCATCGAAGAGCGGTCCAGCGAAGGGCCTTTTTTGACAGTCTGAAATTCGCCCAACTGGTCTTGAAACTGGCAACTACCACGACCGGCATCCTCGGTTCGTTCAATATTGCGAAAATGGCAGCCTGCCACAAATTTATTCTTTCCTAGCCGATAAGCTTGAACTCGTCCTCGAACTGTTTTTCGAGATTAGCTTGGATCCCGCGCCCGTGGACCTTGAAACTCTGGAATTCTATGGCACGCTCATCGTTTTTTTTGTTAATTTATTTTTCAAATTGTCACCGCGCCATCAATGAAAGTTCAACAAGCTTATCCGTCCATCCAGTGCGAGGCTCTGGGACACCCGTATCGGTTTGCCACAGCTATTCGGAAGTTCTAGATCAGCGAGAATCTGTCTTGGAGCAATAATAAAATACAGATAGGATGCATATTCTGAAAACAGATTTAATCGATACAGTTCCGGTTCCGACCTCAATATTCCTTTCAAACCCTGTGCCAAACAAAATCGGCTGGCAATATTCGTTTCGTGGCCCGTACTTTACTAAGTTTTGTATATTCGGATCAGCTTCTCCAGTGCGATTGTCGTCCGGCAAAGCGGGCATTGACGCGAGCTCTCCATCACCAAGTCGGAGCATCCTCTGCACATCGCCAAATGACTGGGAAAAAGGATCAAGTCAGAGATGATCGATACCAAATTTAAAGATGATGCAGAGCGACAAGCTTACCCGCAGTCGACGACGGCCATGATGGCTTCCTCGTCCTGGCATATCACACAGAGACCCGTGCGCTCGAGATCGGATGTCTGCTGCGCAACCCTCGCTTCCCGCTCGCCCGGCTCTCTGTCGATGATAACGGCGTCTTCTTCGTCTTCAAGCTCTCTGAACATGATGTGCAGACCCGTATGAACGGTCCGCTGCGGCGGTGGTGTGTGTGGTGGGCGTGGAGGTCGGATGGTACGGCGTGGGCGCGGGGACACACTAGCTTGAGGGTGCGGGGGTGGGACGGTACGGAGCCGCGGGGACATATTAGCCTCAGGACGCGGAGGTACGACGGTACGGCGCGGGCGTGGGGACACGCCAGCTTGAGGACGCGGAGGTGGAATTCCATGGCCGCGAGCCCGAGGCGAGACCGCATGGCCGGTATCATGAGGACGTGGAGGTGAAAGAGCCTGAGCACGTCGGATGGGCCGCGGAGGTGTAATGTCACCGCCGATAGGCTGAGAATGCTGAAGTCGAAAGCGGACGTGACGGCGCGGGGGCGGTGGGAGATCAGGGTGTGGCGGCGGGTCAGCCTGCGTTGAAAGCGACGCTAACCACTCAGCAAGTCTGGCGGGATCGATATCGTCGCTTCTAGTAGCCGGAGGACGCGGAGGTCTGGCGCTACGGCGGAGGAGCGCACTAGCCTGAGGGCGCGGTGGGACGCTAGTACGGCGTGGAGGTGTGATCGTTATTTCAAGCAGGTCTTGAGGAGGGGATGGAGACGCGCGACGATGACGTGAAAATAATCGATCCATCCGTAGTTCCAAGTTCAAGTTCAACAGGCTAGGAGACGAGGTATACCAGCGATATCGGTGTCGATCCAGGAACGAGGAAGCCTCACGGCAAAAGCCGGTCCGTGCAGAAGCTGTAGTATTGCCGCATTGAGAAGAATCGCCCCTATCTCCCTGGTCAAGTCCTTCATCGTTGCGGCGCGGACTAAATAAATAAGATAGTCGGTAAGAAAGCAGAGAAAGAAAGACAGGATGCAACTATAACGCAACAACCACAGTGTGGCTGTGCAAACACTTCCAATCACTTCTCTCCTCCTCCCAAAACAATGACCGGGGAGAATCAGTGTTCCTCCAACAGCAGAAAGCCTCAAGTGCCGGCCAGCCTGCAAGACGCCCTGTTCGATCAACAACGGGACGGATGTGCCGATCATTCGCTGGTTGGTGCATGGTTGAGTTTTTATCAATTACGGACACCCTTGGAAGACTCTGCCTCTAAAACAGCTGAAGGCTTGCTTTCTTGACGCCAAGTGCTATTGTACCTACTTCACTTTCGCAGTCCGGTTCATAAACTCTTTCAACTTGAACGATCCCCCCTGAAAATGCTTATATGCCCCCAATGCGACTGCGCTTCTCGGAATATGCTCCTGATACGATGCAAACGCTGAGATAGAGTGAGTGTCGCCGCTCACTCACTCTATCGATACCGAAATTAGCCCTGTCGCTTGTGCATAGCCGAAGTGTCCGGCCACGGCTTGTGACACGACGTTTGCGCATTCTGAATTGATTTCCAACATCGAGTTAATTTCTTCCCCCTTCTCGTCATTCGAAGCAGGCGGCATTGTTGCGTTACTTGGTTCTGTTCCTGGTATTCTCGGTCCCTTCTTGGCATGTAACGATTGCTCCCCCAGTCAAAAGCTTCAGTTCTCGGAAATTGGCCGATATTCCAAAAGATCTTTCCGGCATAGAAAACCTGCAGCTTATTTGCAACTTGCCATACACTGCAATGAAACAAAACCCGCGTTCTGATTCCTTACAACACATTTTTACCGTGCCTCCGCCATTTGCCATGCTAATGCACGTGTCTCAGGCTGTGTTCAAATTTGAACCACGGGCGTCGCCGCGCATACCGAGTGCATAAAATGAATATAATAGGTCACCAGAAGCAAAGCAGATGCAAGAGCAAGAGCAAGAAAAAAATATGTCGTATGCAACAAACCCATGCCTCCGGTGGGATTCGAACCCACGCTACCTCTTACACGTCTAGACGCATTGTATGCATTCGAAGTGATCTACGCAGACGTGATGGAACCTTGAACTTCAGTGATACCTATCTATGAAAGATCGAAGCAGAATAGTTCGAAATGAGATGCGAATTAAACATGGGACTAAGCTGGTTGTGGTTTTGAATCCGGAGACCCAGATAAAGCAGGTTCGTACGGGGCAATTTTTTTAAAAAAAGAACAAAAAGATTCAACGATTACGACGGAAGCCTGGGTGGGAGTCGAACCCACACGATTCAGAAAAACGCAAACCGTCAGAGGTGATTTACAGCTGATCCACAGCGGCATATACAATGCAAAGTCGAACTTCCCTAAGTGGTATCGTGTTGGCCTAAGACCTTGCTGATGTCTGAATAGTCCTTGTCAAAGATCGAAGCAGAATTGGTTTTGTACGAAAGCAGTTGAACTATAGGAGGATGCCAAAAATTCGAGCGGGTTTTGAACCACGGGCGCATAAAAATATAATAGGCCACGGCAAGAAAAAAAGTCGCACATCCCCGTCATGCCTCCGGCGCGATTCAAACCCACGCTGCCTCTTCAAAGGGTCTGTGTAACTTATATGCATTCAAGGTGATCTACCGCTGATCTACGAAGGCATTATAGAAGGTCCGAGCTTCAGTCATACCGGATCCAAACAGAACAACTCGAAACGAGATGCGAAATTAAACATGAGCTGACTGTGGTTTTGTTACTTGTGAATCCGGATAGGTCCGGACAGAGAAAAAGGAAACAAGGAAACAAAGGAAACAAAAAGTTCAATGACTACACAGGACGCCTCCGGCGGGAGTCGAACCCACACTACCTCTCTTGCGAGGTTTCAGAAACGACGCAGACACGCCAGATGTGATAGCGCTGATCCACGGAGGCATATATCACTCGAAGTCGAACTTCGCTAAGCGGTATCATGTTGGCCCAAGACCTTGCTGATGTCTGAATAGTCCTTGTCAAAGATCGAAGCAGAATTGGTTTTGTACGAAAGCATACGAGGATGCCAAAAATTGAGCTGACATTTCTCAAGTTCATGAGGGTGCACACGTCGTACTGCAAATCAGACACAAAAAAATTGGTCAGGAACAGGACGAAAAAACAAAAGATCACCTCAAGGGTATGCCCCCGGTGGGATTCGAACCCACGTCACTCTTCTACGGAAGGTCAGCGCTCAGCAGTCACACATTGTTGGAGGGATTGACTACCAATCCACGGATGTTTCCACATAATAAACGAGACCTGGGATAATACAGATAGAAAGGGCAGTGTCTAGACGGCAAGGAGCCTTCGCCAAGGAGCGGAACTCGGCGCTAGGTATGCAGGAACTGTGCAAGTTTATGTTTAACGTACAGGTTTCGTGGATCACTCCACAATCTGAATGATCGACGGGTCGGTCTCCACGTCCGCCTCCATGTCCACAGGCAGCCCCGCTTTCTGCCACGCACGATAGCCGCCGACAATATCGGTCGCGTTCAGCAGACCGAGGTCCAACAGCGCCTCGGCCGCAAGACTGCTCGCCGCGCCGTCCTCGCAGAACACAATGACCCTGAGATCATACCGGTCGACGATGAGCAGCCGCTCCTCGCTCCGCGGATCGAACCGCCACTCGAGCACATTCCGCTCGATGATGAGTGACCCAGCGATACCGCCGGACCGTGCGCGCTCAGCCTCACTGCGGATGTCGACGAGGAAGGTCGGCGCGCCGACGGCGGGCGCGAGAAGCTCCGAGTGAGCCTGCGCGGGGGTGAGCCGCTGGAGGCGCGCGCGGGCGCCGGCGAGGGCCTGATCGGCCCCGCGGCTGCCTGGCGGGGGGATAAGCGGGTCCATCGGGGCACGCGCGCACTTGCGCAGCGCGTCCCAGAGGGCAGCCTCGTCGGCGGAGGCGGGGGCAGGGGAGAGGTTGCGGACGACCGCGACCCAGATTGGCCCGTCGTTGTGGGCGCCCTGGATGCGGCCGAGGAACTTGGAGGACGCGAGGAGGACGGCGCGCTGGACGTATGTCTCGGGCGCGCCGCAGATGAGGAGCGTGTTGGACTTGGAGTCGGGGCGCGTCGATGGTCCCGTGGTCGCGATTGCAAAGACCTGAAACAAAATTAACAATGAAAATTGGAACCGGGGACGTACATACGTGGTCCTGCAGTTGCAGCTGATGTTGGAGGACGCCTGCGACGCGCCGCAAGAACTCTTCGTCGTCGTTCTTGGAGAGGGTGAGCATAACGCCAACCCGGGCTCCATCTACAGTTTCGCTCTTGGTAATGGTCCTCACGGCGACCTCGTTTGCGACCTGGTCGCGGACATCGTCAAGAGTGCGTTGAGGAAGAGTCGAGGACTGAGCCGACTTTTCAGGCACGGTGGACTTGCGCGATGTGGCCGATGAGCGAGCAGACTGAGAAGCGCGCGACATGGCTGGGTGGCTGTGCTCAATTTAAATCCCGCTTCAAGTTCCGCTCTCTTCTTTCCAACGTCCTTGATGATTCTAAGTCTTGAATGATTCAGCCCCTTGGCAGACCCAACACAGTCTCGACCTGTCTCGACCTTTTACCACGAAGAGCAAAGCAAAAGGCTGAATCCGCCCAGGAACAGAGTCCACGCCACAACGACGCCAAGTTGGTTTTACAAGCTCCAAGGCTGTGCTAGGTGTCAAAAAGCACCTAGTACGCCGATACTTGAAACTGCCCTGACTCCGGCTACTGGTGTTGCGAGCCGCATATAGCCAGCTTTTTATATGGGCGCCCAATTAAAGACGACAATATCCACGATATCGATGGCCGCGAACGCCGATCTACGCCGCTGGCGCCAATCCAATGACACGGTAGCCGTACTCCCCACAACGTATAAAAAGCGCCGCCGGCGCATCATCATCCTCATTCCTCTTCGCCTGGCTGGTCCCCTTCTTTCTTGTTCACTCTTTCTTTTCTCTGGACCCGCCGCCGCTTTTTTGGTTGACCCACTTTATATTAATTACATTAATCGCCGCCCGCAATGCAGATTCCCTTCTCTGTCCTATTTGCGCTCGTCCTCTCCCTCGACACGTTCGCGGCCCCGCTGCCCAATGCCAATGCTAATGATAATTTCGTGCGTCCTGTTAAATAACTCGACAAGCTTCAGATACTGACGGACGACCCTCGATTTTGCAGGCGCTCGAGGCGCGGGCGAAGGTCGTTGCGAAGAAACCGGCGGCGAAGCCTGCTGCAGTGAAGGCGCCAGTCAAAGCAAAGCCTGCTGTTGTTAAAGCGCCAGTGGCGGCAAAGCCCGCTGTTGTTCCGGCGAAAGCACCAGTCAAGGCCGCCGTTCCTGCAAAACCGCCAGTTAAGGCCGCCGTTCCCGCGAAAGCACCAGTCAAAGCGAACCCCGTCGCTGCAAAGCCCCCGACCGTTCCCGCCAAAGTACCTGTCACTGCAAAACCCCCGACAAAGGTCGGCAACGGAGCGCCCGCCGCCGTAAAGCCCGCCAACGGCGCGCCCGCCGCCGCAAAGCCCGCCGCGTCCGCCAAGCCTTCCAAACTGCCCAAGTGCACCGCAGCACAGGTCGAGGCGCGCGAACTCGAGGAGCGCATCTTCGGCTCTATCACGCACCCTGATGCTGCAGGCACTATCACACTGTTCCACGGAACGACTGCAGCGAACGCAGCGGCGCTTGCTGCTGGCGCCGTCAATCTCGCCTTAACCAGGGGCACTGGAGATTTCAACCACCGTCCTGGTACGCGAACCGCGCTTACTCCTTTTTTCAAATAACTTGCAGCTAACGCAATATTCAGAGGTACCCGGCGGCTTTTATCTTACCGACAGTCTCATCGCCGCGGCGCAGTTCGCGTGCTTTGGAATCTCTGGGCAGAGACCCGTTTCCACGGACGTCGTGGGTGAGCTTGTGACGCACCTATCTTCGTTGCCCCAATTCCGACATTCTTTTACAGAGTACAGATGGACTGGCGCAGGGCAGCAGACTTTTACTTTCCCCGGGGAGACTGCTGACTGGCTCGCAGTGAGTTGTCGACGATAATATTGTGCTTGAAAGCCCTGCGCTGATTACATTGCTTCTTCTCAGTTCCAACAATTCAACGGCAACCCGAATCAAGTCGCCGTAACCACCGCTCCATTCTCAGCCAGGGCGGCGCAGCTCTTCCAGAACGCCATGATTGCTGGGTGCGTTTTCCTCCCTATTTCGTCGGACCATCCAGAATGCAACACTGACTTTGGATTCACTGTTGTCTTATAGACCCCTGAACGGGCCTGCCGGTAAGTCTCTGCACAGTTTCCTTCACTTCTAACTAATGAATATATTTCTCCTACCCAGACTTCCTCCTGACCGACGACTTCCAGCAATACGCCGTGATCAGCCAGGCCGCCGCGACGAACAACCTGCAGTTCCGCGCGCGTCACCAGAACATCCTGTGCCGGAACGTCCCGACGGGCAACGAGCTTACGGCGCGGCTGTACCAGCAGGGACAGGCGGGCAATGCCAAGTTCAACACGCGCTTGGCGAAACTGCAGGACCCGAACTTCCAGCCTGGAGGAGGGAGCTGTGTCATTCAGTAACTGACCAGCACTTGCAGTACTCTCATGACGGTACTTATTGATTAATTTACTATATAACGACGCGGCGATTGCGTACGGTAATTCTTTTAATATGTAGGCGCGGTTGTACTTATTAGATCCAATTGTGAAAACGAGAGTTTTGAACAAACATGAAACAAGCTAACAAGGAGTTACCAGTGGGTCCGAAATTCTTACCAACGAACTGTGGGAACTATCGGAAATGCGATGTTCATTTTTTGTGGGATAAAACTCCGAATTCAACTTGAATTCCAATATCGCACTGCTTGTGTTCCTCGCCAATTTGGCGAAACATGTTCCTCAGGGACACAGTCTGCCAGGTTGCAAAATTTGTGTTCAAAATATTTGCCATTTTCATCAGTGAGTTTATCGTGCTGCTATTTAGGTGCCCGAGATCTACAGTGATGAGCCCCAGCAAGCCCTAAGCACGGAACCACTCACCTGCGCTGGACAACACGAAGGAAAGAGCTACAACTTGGTATGTTCCGAAAGGGACCGCGCCAAGATAATATATTATCCTGAGTCTTATACTGGTATTGCGTTTCCGCAAATACAAAGGCGTCTGGTAATTGATTAGACGCGTCCAATATACTGTGCCTATATGTAGGGGAGCAACGGTCACGGTAACGGAGAGCCCGTTGCGTTGCCTCGGTCACGGTAACGGTGGGGCTGGTTGCTTGAAAAAATCGTGACATTGAAAAAAATCGCAAAAAATCGTAAAAAAAGTTTCCTCGCCCCTACTCGTCCTCGGAGTCGTCCCCACCACCTTCATAATCGTCGCCACTGCCCTTCTTCTCGCCTTCAGACTCAGATTCGTCGGCCGGTACACCTCCCTTCGTCCATAATTCCCCTTGAGGGTTATATGCCCAGATGTCCTCTTCTGCATCTCCCAGTGCTGAGAGTCGCGCCTCGCCATTGGCCTGAACCCTAATTTTGGCCACCCAGCGGCCTGATCTATCTTGTACGCGAACCCGCAGGACACGATCAACGACCACCGGAAGAGCAACTCCGGTGTCATCGTCAACATCATCTGCTTCTTGGTCCTGCTCGGCCGC